GAAGTTTTTTTTTTTTATGGTTGCCTGAAACTGAGAGTAAGGGTCATTTATGTTTCTCGCGCGTTTCTCACGTTCGTCTCAAAATTCATATATTTTTTAAGCCTTCTATTTTGGGATTGCATGCAGCATTAAATCAAAATTAAAGATTCAAGTTTAAATACAGCGCTTTGCGAATGTTTGCAAATTGAAATGAAACGATTTCTTCAAACGTACAATTTGCCAACCTTTTAAACTGAGATCAGAGCGAAAGATTTCGGCAACAATTTCGCTTGAACGTAGCATTTTCGAACCTTCTGCGTTAAAATTAGAACGCAAGGTTTAACCAACAATTTGTTTAAATATAGCATTTCCAGATTGAGATTACGAGGAAAGATTTAAACGAAGATTTACTCAAACGTGGCATTCTTGAACGTTCTAAATTGAGATTGGGATAAAAGATTTCAGCGCCAATTCGTTTAAATACATTAAATACGTGTTGCAAATGTAGACATTATACGTATGGAGCATAGATTGTGTTTGATTCAGATTTAGAGCAGAAATTTCTAAAGGAGAGAGAAATAATCGCGTATTAGGAACGTGTCGGTTATCTATATTCTAGAATCTGAGGACAACGCGACTTTTCTCCACGCCTCTGATCGCTGTTACACCGCCGGAGGGCGGCAATGATAGTGATTAGAGTCACGAAAGGTGCGAAGGAAGTGAGGCAATAGCCCTCGTTTTAGATTTAGAAAGAACAAACACAGGGTGCAAACGTAAGGTGTATCTGATCAGGAAGCGGTTCGAATAAAATGCAAATGTATTCCACCTTATTTTATGGCGACTCTCCTTCTTTTTTCTTTCTTGCGAAACTGGTGCTCCATTCTCGACGTTGAAAATTCTTCGCGAAAACAACGTCTCGTTCAAACGTGATCGCTGCGGAAAATTTATGAAAGTATTTAACGCTTATCGTTGAACTATGGATATTTATGCAATTTTATGTGTTCCCAAAACAAATGTTAACATACGAACGTTTGTATCGTTCACTGAATATTATAGTAAGTACTCTATGCATACTTTTGTGTGTTTTGTGCGTTCATTGATCTTATAATGATTATTGTGATCGTATTGATAAAACTGAAAAAATTAAGTGATATTCTATACAGCAAAGAATCTAAACCTTTAAAAATTAACAAGCATTACAAAATACGTGTGCAATTAAAAATTTCATTTTCGTTAATATTAAACATTTTAGAAATTTATTTATCGTATTTCTACGAAAAGCAGCTCAGGTATGAAATTTTTGTGTCACAGTGAATTCAAAATGACGTGCATTTAAAGTCATTCATTATTCCCCAAAGTGCATCGCGTTACAAATTGAAACTCCTGTAAAATATAAAAACACTAGAATTATCAATAGCTCATTATTTTACGCTTTTCTATTTTCATTTCTTGCTTATCTCACCTTTTGCTATTTTCTCCGCGTTTGAAGCAGAGGGTATTAGACACGCACATTCAGCGCATGCGCATTAGGCACAGGCATGCGTATGCGCATGCGCGAGCAGCGGGCCCCGCTCGATGCGCACGCATCTTTTAAAAAACCGCGCAAAGAACTATAGAAACGTGTTTCTTTCAGTTCTAAAATCTCCTCCACCTATATACAATGTTCAAGATTATTTGTAAAGTGCTCGATCTCGTCTTTATTGACCAGTGTTCGAATCTATTCAAAAGTATTGTTTTCACGCCCGTAAGTTTCCATGAAATGTCTGCAACTGTCCTACCTTACCTGCAACCCTTAGATTCGTGTATAGGTACAAGTGTCATTGAAATGATTTCTAAAAGGTTGAAATTCAGATTTGAACCTACGAGCTGCTCGATCCCATCTCTACGCTCGAGGGCAGAACAGCACGCGTGCATCGTTCCATTTCGGAACGAGGGGAACGCGAAACGGACCGCGACGGCGCGCAATACGAGTAGGTGGGGGCGCGAGGTGAATCGGTGGTCGTAGGTGGAAGGTAGAAGAGGGAAGGTTCGCGTTCGCAGTAGGAGATGGTTGTGGTAGGTCACGGGAACAAAATGGCCGACGGCCGGTTGCCCTGGCAACGAGATCGGGCGGTACCGGAACGTTCCTCGAAGGCGGAGCTTTCAAATCTTGGCGGCCATTACTGATCCCCACTCCGACAGGTATCGCCGCCTGGCGGGCGAGTTTCAAACCAACGCGCCTCCATTTTCCCCGCGCTTTTAAGCGAAACGTTCGTACGATCGTGCACTCGATAAAATCAAGGGCACACGGAGATTTATTTTCACCGATCCTCGAGGACTCTTGTTTTATGGCGCCTTCGGATAACAACCGGTAATTTATCCTTCTCCGTCGCGGTGTTGCGTGTTACACGTTCTTTTTCTACTCGTGCACGAAGATCGTTTGAGGTTATAATGCCTGGCTCAGGCGTTGGAAAGAATGTCGCTGGAGAGATGTGTGTTAATGATTGAGGATCGAGGATTTGAACTTCAGTTTCTAGTAATTTTGATCAGGTATTTTTGTACACGTTTTATAAATTCATAGTTGTAGGTACATACATAGTTGTAGTGTATAGTAGCACACATACATTTGTGTGTCCATAATAGAATATATATATATATATATATATATATATATATATATGTATGTATCCACACATATACTAGCATTGTAATCATACATTCTTGCACTTTACACGCATTTTAGTCCAATGCCAGTTCTAAATATCAAGAAATTTAAAAACTCGTGAACTTTGACGTAGAACATTTCGCAAGTAGTACGATGACCAGCTTTTGCACTTTCGCAGCTTTTACCTTTCGATCAAAAAAAAAAAAAAAATGAATATCAGAAGCTCAAGGCAGATTCGAAAACTCTCCTCGATGAATACCTCGTATTGGCAATATTTTTTTTGCCAATATTTATACCCGTCGCAAATTAAAGGAAAGAAAAGGAGAAAAAAAAAAGTGAAAGGAGGCAAATGAACGAGCTGTCAGGGGCACGCCGCAATTTTCTCGGTATTATGATGTATCGTCGCGACGCGAACATTTTCCACCGGTGTCGCATCGCGGCGGCAACATTTTACGCGGACGTATCTATCGCGGTTGCGGGGAAAAAGCGTAAAATTTAGAGCCAGTGTGGGAGAGAGGCAGAGAGAGAAAGAGAGAAAGAATGGCCTTCCAGGAAACATCGGTACAAGCGCCAGCACGAACGACCTAGCAGCACCGATTAATGTTGATTTATGTATTAATTGGCTGACGCGCCGCCACCGTAACGGGTCACGCGTGTGCCTTTGAGTTCGTTGCGCTGCGTGGCAGGGACGTTGATCATTTCGGGCTCGCGTTCGCTCGTAAAATCAACCGAACGAACGACAAACACCCGCTCCGATTGATTCTCGCGTCGAAAATTCGACCGAGCGTCGCGTAGTCACACGTCAGATACGTATGCAGGTATAATCGAAAAATCACCGGGGAAATTATATTTGGGTTGTAATAACAGTGCGCGGTGAGGCAAATTGAAATCACGGGCGAATCTCTCTTACGAATTGAGTTTCTTTGAGTCTGGTCAGTTATTTTTTGAAATTCAAATTCAGAAATATTGAACGTGTATTGGTAAGGAAAATTTTGTTTCAACTGCGACTCTCCCTCTTTCACGCTATCTACTTTTTTATGTTGGCATTAAAAGCAGGTACGATGAACATTTACCCACTATTGGTGTAATAACAGTTTGCGTCACAGTGTATATAATGTTGTGGAGAACCGACAATATGACATACTTTAAATTCTGCTCTTTTGAAACAGATGTTTTTGTCAGAATTAATATTGATCTCTGCTTAGACAGATACACAATTGCATGAATCTATTTATTTAAATTATCATGATTGAATACACTAAAGGCCAATGTTAATATTATACGTATTTTCATGCATACTATAAAATATATACATATATTACATATTATATTATCTAATATCATTTATAATATATCTACATCATAATTTATAATAATTTATAATAATTCATATCATATATTATATTATAAGTTATATTGCCATTTATACAAAATTGTCGTGCCAGTTAAATTTCACGATAAAGTATGGACAAGAAGAATAGTTAGCATCGATAGAATTCTGGATTCTGGGTAAAATGAAAAATTCAATCATAATACCAAGAGCTAATCTCCATAAGTGTGGCGCATTTGAAAATGGGACAGAGAGAGATACGTGGTTACTTTTCACCGCAGGAGCTGTGGTCGACATAGTGATCGCATTTATTAGACGACGTACATGCCGATCTTCAATTAGCGATCGCTCGTTGTTCCCTGGCGTCGAATTTATCGCGTTAACGAAGACCCGGAGTAAACGGGCCATGAGAATCCATCATTTCCTCCCTCTTAATCATCCCTTTAATACCGGTTTGTGATTTATGAATAATGGATGTCGTTAATACCGAAACTTCTGCTCCTCGAAACTGTCGTTCCTTTTTCTTCGTTTCATCGGGAAATGCATCGACACTCTGTGCGTCATAGAATAGAATATTCTCCACAAAATCCCCGAATAGTATCGTTGGGGTATAGATGACTATATTGAAACTTGCAATTAGTATTAATTTTGTACTTCGTTTCGTTCATATCTACGTGAAGACACGTGCGATATTCAATCCTCGGATAATTGTTAATTGTCAGATTACAGATAATATAAATTTGGTTAGCAATGTTTAGTTTGCATTTTATACAGTATAGTTTGTTAAATTCTATATAGAAGTTAGAATTATATTAATCAAAAGTCATTATTGGAAAGTTAGAAGTTACAAATATCCTGAGGCTTCTCAGTTACGTCGAAGAGACAAAACTCGCGGTAAATCGCGTAGAACGCAAAACGAGAGGTTTCTTGATTAAACAGCAACGAACCGTCGAATAGCAGCTTGAGATCGATCGTGCAGTGTCGTCGTAATTCTCGGCGGGTGAAAGAAATACAAATGCAACATGAAGGAATCCGTCTTTCTTACAGATCCTGGTAGAATACGACGACGTCGAGTGGCAAAGAAGAGAATGGCTATCGCCGCACAGGGACGCAGTGTTTTCGTTCTTCTTGGTGGAAAAGGGACTGTGCTGGGCCGAGCGACCTGACCCCAGGCATGCCAGCCTCATCGCCATCGATCACCACAATCACGCGAATAATAACCACCACCATCATCGTATCAACGGGAAACCGCTGAGGGGTGCTACCGCTGTCGCGAACACGGTCGCCTGGCCGGCTCTAGTGAGTGTTTTCTCTCTCTCTCTCTCTCTCTCTCTCTCTCTCTCTCTCTCTGTTTCGTGGTCCAGTTAAAAAAAATAAAAAATAAGAATTTGAAAATTTCGAAACCCCATCAGCGTACACAAAAAAATTGACACGCCACATTTTGCCTCCCCCAACATCATACAACTTTTGTATTAAACAATTTTTCAGTAGACGCGTAATTTAAAAGTTACTTCAGGTTATTACATGTGTATGTTATATCATATATTGATATAATATGTAAGATTAATTTCATTTTAATACTAATTTTTTATTTAAATTTAATTTATAACTATTTATATTGATAATAAAATATGAGTATATCATGTATATTATACCACATATATATATATATATATATATATAAAGTACATATTTTCGTATCTACGCTTTTTCGTTTCTCTCCGCTTTATCGGTGGCTGCGCGCCCTTTTCCTCTCTCTCTTTCTCTCTCTGTTTCGTAGTCCAATTAAAAAAAACAAAAAATAAGAATTTGAAAATTTCGAAACCCTATCAGCACACACCAAAAAATTGACACGCCACATTTTGCCTCCCTCAACATCATACAACTTTTGTATTAAACAATTTTTCAGTAGACGCGTAATTTAAAAATTACTTCAGGTTATTGCATGTGTTACTTTGTTCTTATTACATGTGTATGTTCTATCATATATTAATATAATGTATAAGATTAACTTCATTTTAGTATTAATTTTTTAATTTAAATTTACTTAAATTTAATTTATAACTATTTATATTGATGATAAAATATGAATATATCATGTATGTCATACCACATATATATATATCACTTCGTAGATGTATATATATATATAAAGTACATAATTTCATGTATATATATATATAAATGTTCTATATATATATATAACTTAGTACATAATTTCGTATCTACGCTTTATCGGTGGCTGCACGCCCTTCTTTTCCCGGTCGCTTTATCGATTAACGAACCCTTCGCGTTTGTGACATCAGCCGGGAACGTTCCATTGATCCCGCTCGAGTGTCTGTTCTCGAAAGAAACGTCTCTCTCAAAATTCCAGATCCCCGGATCCTAAGGTGAATATTCTCGGTCGTTTGCATGCAAAGTGTTGGCGTTCTCAGCGTGGAAGTTCTCGCAGCTCTTGGTTTTGTTCGTTCGGTAGTGATTAAGAAGAAAGTTTCAGTTTTAATAATCACGTCGCCGATTTTTTGTTTTGCGAACCGTGTCATTTTTTTTTTTTTCTATTTCTTGCGATGCCTAGGACGTTTGGTCTAAAGTTTCGGCTAAATCGAAGACTTTGACTTTAGTGAAGACTTTAACGCGTCTATCTATCTAGGTTTTCACTGTATTGTAATTAATTAATTCTGTAGATTTCTGTAGATCGTCACGTCTAGGACGCAATTTTAATTAAATAACACCTCGCGCGTAAAAATGCCGGAATTCTGTAGATTTCGTTGACACGAGGAGTAGGGAGAACTGAAATTAATTCCCAGTTGAATTGAAACTTATTTGCAGACATTTTACCCTCTGGTGGCGCGAGCCGAGTTACCGGAAGACGCGATGCCTCTCGAGTTCATGCAAGATCGAAGGCTGGATTTCGTCGATTACTCGAAGCTGAAGCCGTTTACCGTGAGTATCATCGTGCTTTACTCCGCTCTATTTTCCTAAATATCCTACACAGGCATCCCGGAACGTTTAATTCAGAAATTTTCTAAAAATCTCACATCTCGGCTTAGGAAAGAAACCTTACGAGAAAAAGGATGGCCCAAAATTTCTAATTTGGCAATTAATTTTGGAGCTGTGAGCTTATAGAGCTCAATATATTTTCTCTTTATTTTCTTAAGTATCCTAAAACGCTTCTGACATTTCTAATTCGGCAAATTTTAAAGAGCCAGCGTCAGCGAGAGGTTCAAAAATTGTACATTCAGCGGTCGAAAAGCTCGGCTCGTAATATGTGGATCAACGAGACGTTTATTAAAATCGTTACGGTGTAACTCGGCCCGTCCTATCTTCTTTTCTTTGTCGCGATATCTCGTCGATAAAGCACGTTAGGATCCTTGGTCGATTAAGTGGCACGCGAGTTCCCTAAACCGAGCCAGCCGCTTCGCAACTGGAAACTTACTTCGTTAGAGAGCGGCGAGGAAACTTGGGAGCAAGTTTCCGAGGCTATTGACCTATCCGACAGCCCTCCGGGAGACCGTTGTCGTGACTACGAGTAATCTTTCGAGGGATGTCGATCTCCGGTGACCGAATATCGCCCTTTAGGTCACTTTAGGCTCACTGGAAAATTTTCAGCCTCGCGTTTCTCCAATTGAATACAAATAACCGAGAGAAATAAATATTAAAGATAACTGCACGCTCTTCATATTTGTATTTATATTTAAATAATCGAAGAAAATAAATATCAAAAATATCGAATCTGAATAGTGGGCAAAACGAAGTGGAGCAACAAAGTCACACATAGTCGAACTATGAATTTTAAATTTTACTCGTATCGAATCGTTTTCTGGTATTTTAATTTTTAACAACTTTCAGCAACATGTGAATTTCATTTACTTCGAAAGTGCTTGGATTCTCGTTTGTAATATTTAAATATGAAAAGGAAATGGTCCTTGATTAACGAAGAAGAGGAATAAATATAGTATAATACAATGTAACGATGGAAAAAGGATATGAAATAGAAAAACACTTCGAAAACAACCCCCGTAATAACTTACTAAAACTGATTTTAAGTTTGTATCGAGCCTCGCACAAGTTTCAAATTTCTATCGTATCAAGAAAATATGCAAGTAAAGTTACATATATGCTACATTACAAATTATTACAATACGATATTGCAGTACATGTAAGTAAGTCCTCTCAAAATTCAGAGAACTTTAGATTCATAATTTTAGAGGTCAGACTCTTCGAAAGACTCTTCAAATAGAAAATTTCGTAAAAGATTCATAATTTTAGAGGTCGGACACTTCGAAAGACACTTCTTCAAATAGAAAATTTCGTAAAAGATTTTCAAACAAAGTTCGATTTTACAAAAATCCGTGAAAATTGCTGACGTTGCTCCAGTAAAATCGGAGATGCAGCCAGCAATATGTTCATAAGAGATGACAAATCGATGATCGAGGAGGGGCGGGTGAGCCTCGGAGAACGATGCTCGAAAAAGTTCTTACATCCTGGCGAACTGGCGGACGCGGTTGCGGGGGAATTGTTTCCAAGTAATTAAACTAGCGGAACTTTTACCGTTAAAAGTTCGCCGGGCTCGCCGCGAATTGTAAGTCGTTCACGTGCGGCGAGAAGTTTCGCAAAGACCGTGGTCAGGATCAGCTGAAGCGGAGTTTCGCCAGCCGATTCCACCCTCCTCCTTCTCCTCCTCAACCTCGTGCGCTGGTTACGTATTAAAGACGATTACCGCGGTATTAGTTCCGCTCGATCGGGGAAAAGTGGCGTGTCTCGTTCAATCATCATCTCCTTCCCGAAACGTCACGGACAAGTCGCGAGAGATTTTTATTTTCTTGCTGTTTCTATTTCAATTCTAAGGGTGATGTTTCTTTGATGTTTCGTGACACACGCTGTTTTTTTACGATCTATTTATTCTTTCGTCGTTCTGTAATTCCTGTCCGATCTTCTTGTCAGTTTATCTTTGAATTTCTGGCCTGGATACTCCAATTTCGGAAGTTCTCCGTTCCCTTTGCGATTGCTATTGGACGAGGTTGAGGATTAATTAGATATTTGATGTGTCATATTTTCATTTGAGATACATCGTCCATATATAGATCGTCCGCTAGATCGTTTCACTCGTTCCTTTCATTATTTTATATTTAAATTCCTGCAATCCCCAGTTCTTTTATTTGCGCTAGGTAGGAAAGAGATTTCTCTCCGGAGATGATTTTAATATAAATATACCTAGAGCCGCGTTGTTTTCTACCGGGAATCTTTTCATCGCCCGTGTTCAAAAGTTAATTCACAAAGAACATCTTAACATTGCATCATTTCCTATATTGTATTCAGAAATTCAAAATCGTTACATTCAAAAATATTTTATAGCGTGTTTTATTTTATTTCGTACTTTCACACTTTTTTTCTACTCTTTGTTTCACGATTTTGTAATTGCATTCTTCGCTATCGGAAATCTTTTTTAATATTGCATTCCTCACCGTTACAAATTGTTTTATTTTACGTGAATACATTCTGATCTTCGTTCAAGTCATGTTGTTTCATTCGTTTTTGCGCGAAGAGCCGCGAGAACAAAAAATCATCCAACCTCTATCCCATATGAAGAACTTGATGAATGGAAACGATCATGGACAACATCAAATCGAACGAAGATCCATAACTGTGCCATGAAATTTCTTCTGATTAACCAAAAAAAGAAAGAATGATACTGGATTAGGACATCAGTAAATAACCCATGAGGATGTCAAAAATCTGTCACGGTTCGATCGACACATTCTACGTGAACAAACTTTGAGTGGCAGGAAAGACAGGAGGTTTTTCTTTTTATATGGGGGTTTAGAGTCGCATCGACTACGAGGTCTTTAGCGACGTGCTAGAATTTTCTCATTATATCTGGTCTGGTAGTTGGGTCTCCTTTAGGTAGTTGATAACGTTTTTTTGTTGTTTCTGGCAGGTTAGAGCGGTGTTTTCGTTTAATCCGTATTCACTTCTTAGGTTTCGGTATTTTCTGCATTCATGTAGCAGGTGTTGGGTGGTGATCTGTTGGTTGCAGAAAGGTGGTTCTGTTTTGCTTAGGAGGTATTCGTGTGTGATTTTGGAGTGCCCGATTCGAAGTCTAGTCATAGCTATCCCTTCTTTTCTGCTTATATTATTATTTGGTATTTTTTGGTAGAAATGGTGTGCTATGTCGTGTATTTTGGTTCTATTTGTCCAAATTCTGTTCCATTCTTCTCTTTCCGCTTTGGTCGTTGAAGCTAGAAGGTCTTGGTGCGGGATTGGGATGTTGGCTACTTTTGTTCGGTCTGTTGTTGCTTCTTTGGCTAAGGAGTCGGCTTTTTCGTTTCCTTCTATTCCTCGGTGTGACGGGATCCAGGTGATTATTATTTGTTTTGTGGTCGTTGGTAAGTTCGGTGTACGTTTCTTGAACCATTTGTACGAGGAAGATAGGATTAATCCCACCACCGCCGTGACTTTCTAAAATCATCTGAAGAGAACACTTCAATACTCGATGGACATAAATCTACACTAAAAAAAAAAATACAAGTGTTTAATCGATGTCGATGTGAACTTTAAACCTGCGCAAAGATAAAGAAAAAAAGAAAAGAAAAAAAATCATCGAAACACAGAGGGGTAATAAAATTGTCTTGAATGGACGATACAGCGTACGAGAATAGCAGAGTGAATCTATTAACCTTAGCGGCTCTGTTCGCTTCGTCGACGCGCCTAGAACCTATTCATTACAGCGGTCCCGTAATTATTTAGAGCGTCGTGCGTAAAAGAAAGTTGCCGGCCGCGCTGTCGATAAAATAAGCCGGCGGTTAGCCTGACAGTTGAACTTCACCGCGTTACGCGCAAAAATAGAAAGAAAGGGAGAGACAAAAGGAGAGAGGAAGAAGCCTCCGGCAGGAATAATTTCATCGGGGTTACGAGGGAAAATTGCCTCGTGCTCTCGCGTGTTCGATTATCGATTTCTGATAGTCGCAGCTGCACTTCTCCTCTGCCCGGTACCAAAATAAAGAGAGGAGAGCCGGAGAAAAAGAGCGCAGCGAAAAAAAGGACCAACGAGAAAGGGGAAAGCGTTTTCTTGGTAGAAGAAAAAGAGAGAAAAAAGACGTAAGAATGTTTCGAACGAAACAGAGGAAAAGAAGTGAAAAGAGTGGCGATACAGTAAGAGCTACGCGATTCTACAACATTTAAGGATCCATAAAATCAAGAGACAAAATTAAATTAACACGTGTGCATGTGAAATACGTAATTTTATTCTGATCATTTATAAATTAGAAAATTTTACAGCTCGTCGCGTCTCACCACGTAGGTTTAGCACGTAAAAATGTGGGGCACACTTTTCGTGCCTTCGCTCAAAGATAAGTCATAATGGAGGAATCATCGATCTTTGAACTTCTGTGAACTTTGCTTGAAAAGAAAAATCGTGCGACTAGTTTTACGCGCTCCACTTTCACATTCTTAAAACTTTGTTGCTTCAAAGACCTTGTTAGTTGTGAAACGAAGTGAGAAACTGAAGTCGTTCTTTCTTTCTTTTTCTTTTTTTTTTTTTTCTGGAAATTTTACAAATTCAAATGACTCCGTGATTAAAAAAATTTATAACGCAACAAGTGACACGAGCTTCTAGTATATTTTATCAAAAATCATTCAAAAATACACTGTGTATACGGAAAAATTTTCATGGAAAATTATAAATTGGTCATTTTGTTAGTCCCATGCGTTAACATATTTATGTTAAATTATTCAAAAATGTATTTAAGTTAAATTGGTCATTTTTGTTAGTCCTGTGTGTTAACGCGTTTAAGCTTCATTTTGTGCGACACGTACATTTAAATATAAATACGTAATAACGATTTTTATTATTAAACACGCACGTTAGACACGTACAATGGCCATACGCGAAGTCATATTGCAGGTCATAATACTTCCACTGATTCACCGTGTATATAACGCTGCGTGTTACAAAAAGAACAGAAAGAAACGCGAAAATGGAGCAACAAAGTCCAGCTGGTGAGAAAGAAACGAAAACGAGAAAGCCAAAGGGAAGCTGGAGCGTGTAAAAAGCAGATGTTCCATCTCACGCGTTTAACAAACGAATTCAGATCTCAATCTCCTTGTGATTTACCGAAGAAGAAAGTTATCGATTAATTACAGCTACGCAATCTGTTACGTGTTTCTGTTCGGCACCCCGCAAACGTTTGGAAATTTCATGGAACGTTAAAAGACATAAATGACGTAGCAACAGGCCATCTGCTTACCTATTATTGGCTATTATTCGCGATAGAAAACAGAAAAAAAGAATTTATCAGATTAAACTTTCTCGGCGTCGAGAGTCATTACGCTGGAATGTCGAGAATATTTGACCGCAAAATTGCAATATTTTCTCAGTTTTAAGTATATCGAAATATAACAAATAAATAATGGTAAAACAAATAATGAATTTATCACTTCTCAGTAATTTTTATCCAGTGATAGGCCGACGAGGGTCAAAAAGAAAGCGACGAATTATTGTATACTGGTTTGGTCACTCGTTATGGTCCGCGGACCAGTTGCCAGCGCAAAAGGGTTAAAATATTAACCATTTTCATTGGCTGATCAACTTCGTTGTATCGCTGTCTAATGTCTGTTCCAGTTTAACCTCTTGCGCCGAATTTTTTCTTACAAAATTGCAATATTTTCTCAGTTTTAAGTATAGTCAAGCATAACCCAGGCAAAACAAATAATAAATTTATAACTTCTCAATAATTTCTATATATCATACATTGACGAGGGTCAAAAAGAAAGCGACGAATTATTGTATACTGGTTTGGTCACTCGTTATGGTCCGCGAACCAATGTTGCCAGCGCAAGAGGGTTAATGCGATCTGACGTTAATGGATGGACACTCGAAGAATGCACACATACAGGAAAGAATCCTCAATATGTGGATCGTTTGAAACTTTGGCATCTAATGAAAAGAAAGCGCCGAGCGTTCTTCGATGAAACGGGAAAAAAGGAGAAGAAGACCTCTGGTAGCTCTCTCGGTCGAGCGAAAGTTAGGTTCGTCCGCGAAATCGGCGAAGAGTCTGCCGACCCTGAACTATAAATGCAACGGGTTCTTTCTGCTGTTTCGTAGGGAATTGCTCACGAAAAGGAATTAACGTCCTCGTGTGCCGAACCGACGTCGACGCACGTTGGAACCAACCGGCCAGAAAGGAAAGAAGCGTGGATCCACGTGGACGTACGTACGTCGGCGACTCGCGCGAAGCTTCCAAGAGCTCGGCTGGTTTGTTTGCTCTTGTTTCGCTGGCAGCTGCGGCCCGGTTCGGTGACTCGTGTCGACACACCGCGCGCGTGCACCAACATTGGCGAACGGTTGGAGAACGGCCAACGCGAGGCGCCAACATATTCCCGTTTTACCTAACGGGTCCTGTCGCGCGACCCGCAGCCTTCGTTCCTTTTCCTTCTCTTTCTCTCGAACGCTGCACGCTACGAGCGCCGAGAAAATCGATCTCGACGAGAGGAACGTTTGGCGGTCGATTCATTCTTTCTTTCGTCGAAAGGGGAGAGAGGCACTTAGACAGTTCGACCAATTGCGCTGGCTACCGATTGCGGACCATAACGAGTGACGATGATTCGTCGTTCTCTTTTTTTTTTTTTTTTTTTAACTCGTCGGTACGATGTCACTGGATAGAAATGATTCAGAAGTAATGATCTGCCTGGGTTATATTGAAATATATTTAAAACTGAGAAACTATTGCAATTTTCTCGGGACAAAAAATTCTTGACTTCTTAGTGCGTGGCTAAGAGGTTAACTTGTAATTCGCGTGCTCGAAATTACCGGGAGTCCGAATCGTCCGATTCCCCTCTTATCTGCACACTGCTTATCTGTTTTGTCGTATGTATGAATTCCAATTAATTAAGACGATTCTTTCAAAAATAGTATGGAACACATTATTCTTAATAATATTCTTCCAAGTCGTTTCGATAGTTTCAACTCTTTCCTTTCCCTGTATGTGTATGGAGTATCGCGCACATGCTGAAACGTATGTTCGCCAAGGAGATGTTGCGCCAACGTCTTCTCGTTACGTTACGATCGTTACGTTACGTCAGATCCGTTGTGCAATCACGACACGCGAGGCATGACGGCGATGCACGATAATGGCAGCAATGTAACGGCAATTATAACGCCATTACCGAATTTGCCCGACGTTCCACGTAATGTCACCGCCGAGCTATCAAATCGAGCGTCGTGTCCCTCGCGACGTCGTGTTTTCACCGCTCGAATGAATCCTTCGTTTCGACCGCTCACAGTCAGAATTTAGTCGAGGAATAGAGAAAATAATCGATTCGTTAATTTTTTTTTTTTTTGTCTCAAGGAAAAACTATTACTATTTTATCATTTTACGATTATTTCATTATTTGATTAACACACACTGTGGCGTGATGCGATCTTTGTGACGTCGTCATTTGCAACAGTTTCTATTATATTTATATATATTTAACAATACATGTTGTATAATGTGTATTGTATAATATGCATTTATATTATATATTTACAATATATATTGCATATTAATATATATTTAACTCTTTGGCTCACTTCACGTTGCTCTAATCGGACTAAAAGCGCCTACATTTGTATTTAATAAAGCAAATTTCACCAGAGTACAGCTGAAACAGAAATATACGCGTGTAAATCGAAGGATAAAAGAATATACCGATGTAATGAGGTATAGAAATACTGATAATACGACAATTCGGTGAAATGCAAGGTCCAAATGTGTAAAAAGACATAACAAAGGAATGCTGACGCATACAAGAACACATTATTATCAGACAGAATTACATTATGAAATAAAGCTCAAAGTCACTGCTAACTTTATATATAAACTATAAGTAAATGATATTGGTATAAATTTCTATAACACATTCCGTGAAAAATTTTGTCGCGATTGAACTCGTGTCGTGTGCCACGCTCGACACGTGTCAGAGTCTTTTGATAGCGGAGAAAGGGTTATTAGCGCTTGATTATACAGTCACGTAATTCGAAACTGTCACCGACGAAGAAGCGATAACGAGGCTTCAACCGATTCGTTGTTCTTGCAGCAGGACTGGGAGCTGACGAAGGGCTCGGTGCCGTGGGCAAGCGCTGTCAGACGATGGGCAGAAATGCAGGACGGACAGAGAATTCTGTTAACCACGCCGAGCGTTCTAGTTGGCTTCAGGGTCGAGGTTTATCGGGCCGAGGGCACTACGCAATGGTACACCGCCGTCATCGTTGGTTACAACGAGTCCACCAAGGTAACGTCCTCTTTTTTTCTTCTCTTTCTTTGTTTCTTTTCACGTAACGAAAATACTCGCATACCCTACAGGGAAACTTTTCTATTCACGTGTGTTCGTGTATTCGTATTCGATGATTAGAATCATAGTTGAATCTTCTATCTACGAACGTTTAATATATTCGTGAAACATTTTACAAAGCGTAGGACGTGTAAAAATACATAAAATATCTAAAGTATTTTTATAATATTTAATATTTAATATTTTATAATATTTAATATTTATAATTTCTATATTTAATATTTATAATTTTTATATTTAATATTTTATAATATTTAATATTTAATATTTATAATTTTTATATTTAAATTTAACATTTAATATTTTATAATATTTAATATTTGATATTTGATATTTTATATAATATTTAATATTTAATATACTGTATAAATGTAACATATATAAACAAAAATCCTACCTACTGCGAACTATACAAAGTGCCCAACTATTGCAACAGTTTGCAAATTGTATCCTCGATACAAAAACATAAATTTTCGTAATATATTCGCAAGGACTACATAAAGTGTCTAAAGTGTCCAAATATTGCAAAAATACGAATTTTCACGATGATCTATTCACGATATGTGTCTACAAGTGTTCGAACGTTTTCGCGAACTTTTGCATCTTATTATTGAACGTGAACAATATTTAACGAACTAACAACGAACACGGGCAGAGAAAGTTTCACTCTCAGAAAGAGAAAATTCTCCTTCGAGTTTTACGCAAGGTTCAGCGCGATCGATCGGTTGGACTCGTTGACGGAAACGGTTACATTGATACGACTTTAACGAGACGTTAGCCTGTCGACTAAGGACAACCTTTGACACTTAAATTGGCAGACACGCGTCTGCCCGAAGGCACAGATTACCGAGTTTCTCCCCAGTTTCTTGCAGACAAACATCCGCGAGAATTGTAAGTTGCTCGTGAAAAAGATTTATCGCTCGTTCGCGAAACTAGTCTAATGTCACTCGATCATTTCGCCTCGTGTCGAGTCGTGAAAATGAAAGATACTTTCCCCGTCCTTTTGCTTGACTTTCAACTCACTGTTTGTTGTTATCGATCAATGACGATTGTCTGCATAAAAATTGTCACTTCCGCGTGCTTTAGCACGATCAATATAACCGTGATTTATTCTAAGTGTTTTACAGTAAATTTCATTAATTATTCTTTCTTTTATATTCCGGATAATTGTTTAGACGATTATTTGAAATTACGAATCATTTTTGTTCGAACTTTATGCCAGATTTATCTGCGGTTTAGCTGCAATGTTGAATCGGTTATTGAGTATTTGTTTCAATTTAAAATCTGCGAGCTGATGATTGTCACGGGCAAGTCGTTCGATATTTTTGTAATAAAACGCAATCGTGAAAGAATATTACACGAAATAAACGTTTTGAAATGTATAACTATCGAGTGGCAGAATATTAGAGATAGTTGATACTATCACTAATGCGATTAGGTATATAAATAAAGTTTCCTAACACGTACTTAAGATATATTTATGGTTATGATAAAGATGAAATTAATATCTTCATTGTCAGTAGATTCGTTCGACATCAAAATCAAAAAAAATAGCAAGTTTTACCAATGCAGAACGTAGCAAATTTTTGCATAAGTAATAGACAATAAGTTCCTAGAAACTGAATTAAAATCCGAGAGGGAGAACAATCTGATGTAATTCCGACGACGCGATTTTCAGGATTTGACTGTCACCGATGACACAGTTCTCGAGGATCACAACGAGGACCCCAGTTTAGTACAAATGCGGCTGATCGGCGACGGAGGTGAGGCTCACGAAAATAATACTCGCTAGAAATAATCGTAGAAATGTAGAAATGATACGTAGGAATCGTATGTAGGATCTCCTCGAACGAGACGAACCGAAACGAAATTTTTTCGTTCCAATATGTCTCTTTTTTTCNTATTTTTTTTTCTTTTTTTCTTTTTTTTTTTTTTTTTTTAACGAGTATTAAATTCGTCGTCCCTTCAATAAAACAGAATTTTTCGCAGAATTTTTGTAATTTTGTTTTTAATAAAAATTCTTTCCGATGGAAATTTTCAACCCCATTAGTAACCAACGTTGCGCGCAACGGTAACGTTCAAATCGTGCAATTTCTCTGAATGAATTTACATTCTATTTTTTTTCCTTTTTTTTTTTTTAAATATCAATCCTCCTTCTAACGTTAATACCACGCTAATATTTTTATTTTTTTTTTTTAATATCACGGCCGTGGAATTCTCTGTAATCAATCCGCGCCGTTCTATTTTTCAATTCCCCGTTCTTTAATATCGTAGCTGCGAAAATTTCAAACATTCGCTCGGATACTTCCGTCCCTCCTGTCTATAATTTTACAAAAAAAAAAAAAACCGGAGACTCGATGTATTATATATTCTCGACGGAATTGTTTCTTTCCGGTCCCCGGCGTGTGTTTTCTCTCTCCGTTTTCTCGCGGAAAGAGCGGATATTGATTTTCTTTTTGTCAAAAAAAAAAGAGAGAGAGAGTGAGAGAGAGAAAAAGATGAAGAAGGGAGACAGAAGGACGGTGTCAATTTTAGCTTCGTTCGTTTTTCTGCAGTCGTCGAGAGCATCATGAGAGGCGAGGTCGTCGGCATGACACCGAGGAGGTCGAGGTCATCGACTGCTCTGACGCACGCGCTTGTTGTGGTGAGTGAAATTCAATTCCGTTCTATTATTAAATCGCCGTGTAGTTTACGATAATACAAAGCGGCAAATGTACGTTCGAAAATTTTCCATTTTTCTCCTCGCGTCTCGCGCGAATTTATTTCACTCTCGAAACGCCTTTACACCCATCTGTACGTGTTATATCGCTGCCACTGTTTCGCGATACAAAGTCGTTCGAAGTATCGAATTCTTACTGGAAGCGAGGAAGAGCGAATTCATTTTTCACTTTTCTTTCTTTTCTTCTACCATTAACGCGAATCAACGGGCAGGTTTTTAGGTCTCGTGTTTCATTTTCTAATTCTGTTTTTTAACCTCTTGCGCTGGAATGACGCGTCACGCACGTAGAGAATTTTTTGTCCTAAAACTGCAATATTTCCTCAATTTTGTATTATATCTAAGTATAACCCAGGCAAAAAAAATAATAAATTTATTACTTCTCAATAATTTCTATCCAGATGATATCATACCGACGAGTTCAAAAGAAAAAGAAAGCGACGAATTGTGTGTATATTGTATATACGGTTTGGTCACTCGTTATGGTCCGCAATCAGTTGCCAGCGCAAGTGGTTAAAGTTCTGTTAATTTTATTTATTCTATTCACGACGAACCGTGTAATCGGTCTAATTTTAACGAAAATTCGTGAAACGTCAGAAACGTTTTCATCTGCTGTTTGAAATATTTGAAATCTCACAGAAATTTCTTTTTTTTTCACTAGAGAAATACGATTGAAGTTAAAGTATTACGATATTAACTACACTTTACACTGTTAGTGGGTTGCTCCAAATTTTCGTTCGTCCTACGTTGTTTTATACTTTCATTTCGTTCAGTCGCTTGAAATTCTTTCTTACAAAATCACCGAACATCGCGGACAGTGAAATTTTTCAATCGCAATCTGCGTTTTCATAATTCAAAAGCTCGCGATACTTTTAATCTAATAGTTCACACAGATCCTTCGCCGTGTAAAGTGTTACATCATTTTTTCTAATACCGAGGTAATAATAAACTAGTATGCTTTCGAGTAGGAACGTGAATTCACTCTTCTCCCCGATAATTCGCCAGGAAAATACGTGCGAGACGAAATTCACAAGTACGGAGGAGGAGGAGGAGGATAAAAATCGTTCGACGAGCAAACAAGCCGGTCGCGTAGAAATTCTTGAAAATTCTTTCGCCCTTGGATACCACTTTCACACCTGCCAGATAATGAACAATGTAACTTTCAACCGGTCGTACCACCGTGTGTTATCACCTTATCGCCCATTGTCGTGGCATAGATAGTCCCCGTGACATTTTTATTTCTCTCTTTTTTTTTTTTAAAAAAAACCCACGATATCCTTGAATATGTATAATATCAGCTTTTCTCTGAGAAACTCAATTGTTCACGAAATTATATTATATAATTAAATATTGTGTATAAATATAAATATTATTTACTATATAATATTTAATTATATATTGTATAATTATTATTATACATAAATATAAATATTACATATGTTTGTATATATAATACTACATATATAATGTTATAATGTTATTATAATATATAAATATTATATATTATATAATATTTAATTATATATTATATAATTATTATTATACATAAATATAAATATTACATATTTTTGTATACATAATATTATATATATAATGTTATAATGTTATTATAATACATAAATATTATATATTATATATTATATAATTATTATTATACATAAATATAAATATTACATATTTTTGTATATATAATATTACATATATAATGTCATAATGTTATTATAATATATAAATATTATATATTATATAATACTTAATTATATCGAATATCGTATAATAATTCAAATTATTGAACTCTTTCTTTTTACGTTGATTTTTCTCTTTTCTTAAAATATTACCGGCAACTACGAGGTCACGCATGTTTTGCACCTCGATGATAACGATGACACGGTTCGCACTCGTGTTTCGAACTGAACTACACCGCCAGTGAGTAGGACCAGAGACAATGAACACGTGGCTTTAGTAAAGATTCGCGGATTCGTGTATGCAGCGAAAACCGAATAAATAAATAAATTCGTCGACGAACGAGATTCGTCGTGGTGGTAAACAGGGAGTGCGGGTGGTGGGAAAGAGAAGGGAGGTTCGGAATGGCTGGTGACGGAGATTGTCCTCACGAAGGGACTCCGTCTGGTTCATGTTCGATTGCCGTCTCGCCAGGAAATCGAGCGAGGCGAACACGAGGAAGGTGGGGCGTTCGCGTTCGCGTTCGCGACGAACGGAAGTCGGCCGCCAAGGTAGCAACGGACTCTATTCCCCGATTCCTGAAGGCTCTTCGAGGGTGCCGCAAACACGACTTTATTGATTTGCCGCATTAAAGGGAAGCAGCCACGGTTCGCGTTCACGGTCACGTGGCCTCGCCAAATGTTTTCCTCCGAATGTCGTTCCCCTGGTTCCCCTTCACTCCTCCTTTGCGATTCTTTCGCAATTGTGCTCCGAAATTGTTATAGGTGATTTTTTTTTAACGTCAGGTCGCGCTCATTACGATCGTCTCGGTGAAATTTAAAGCCAGTTTCAAATGACTGTGTATAGTGTAAAAGCTTTAAAAAGTGATATTTACTGCGATTAGATGTTTGATGAAGGAATTAATGGTTTATTACAGGATGATGTATCAAATAAATACATTACAGAATGTAGAAACTTATGGAACTTCAAATTGTTTATTTTTATGAATGTAACAAAAACTTCTGGTTGTATCTACGTACATATCTCTATGTAAATATCTCTTACGTGTATTCATACTGTTCAAATATCTTGTATTATATTCCATATACATTATATGATCAATAGTTGAGTTACTAAAATATTTTATTAGATACATATGATGTATCCATAATTGAACATTGAAGCTTCTAAAAAGTTCTCTCTAAAGTTCCAAATAAAGTCCAAAATCATCAGATCAGATCTAATTACACCGGTGATTATGATGAGGAAGCTAAAGTCGATGAAATTTGTCTATTTCTGAATACCTTTTTCAGATTTACTCCAAATTTGATTAGCAACTGAGTCTCTGCTAAAATATTTATAAGACACATACAATTTATATAATAGAATAATAGAATAATAGAACAATAGAATAATATATGTGTTAAATAATTATATAATAACAATAGAATAATATATATATATTAAATAATAATAATAATAGAATAATATATTCATAGAATGCCCATTAAGGCTGTCGCTAAACATTGTAAAAACGTTGTCCAAAATCGTAAGAAATCGCCGGACGGATCTAATTACATCGGTGATCGTTCGCAATCGGAAGCTGGCGATTGACGAGAAAGGATTCGATTCGAGAAACGTAGCGGTTCATAAATGGTAATCAGCAGTCGTTTCTCGAAGTCGTTCGGTGTGTGTCTGGATCGGCAACAAGAGAGACGAGGCGTTAACCCCGGTTACCGGTCGCGACGTTTCGACGACCCCGAGAAGTGGGAGGAGGACTTTCTATCGTTAGCGAGTAATTCTGCGAAAGTTTTCGAATCCGGCGCCGGCCGAGTTGCCGGTCCCGTCGTTTCGTACGAAGAGTTATATTCCTTCTTTGAAATTTCTTCGTGCCTCGCGAGAGCCCGGAACTTCTTACCGAGCAACTCTCCGAATTCTCTCTATCCGTCGACCTTACAATCTCGTTAATTCGAGAGAAATCTTTCTCTCTCTCTCTCTCTCTCTCTCTCTTTCTGGTTCCCTCGCTTACTTTTGCCAGTTGGCTGTTCCATAAATCATTTCCTCCCAGCGAAATCTATTCGAGCAGGGCGATTATATCAAACCAAGCTCGCCCTGATCCACGTGAAATTGCGTCGAGGGATCGAACTTGGAACGGTTTGCCCTCTTTCGGCGGGCGAACTTGTTTCAAGTGTCGTTCGGACGAAAAAAAAAAATAATTTGTCCGCGAGCTCTCACCGTGTGGTAATTTCGTTCTTGCTTGTTTGAATGAAGAAAGCAAGTTAATAGGAAAGTAGGATGCACAGAAAAACGAGAGTCAGGGAATAACAGCGAATGTCGCGTGCAACCTAGATACAGAATTGGTTTGACTTTTCGAATTTTTCGGATTTTTCTGTAAAAAATTACGGATGAAATTTACAGTACCGAGCAAAACTTTGAGTTTTTTTTTTACTTTTCTTTGTTTACTGTATTGTATTTCATGTTTAATTAAATATCTAAATAGACCTTTAGATTACCGAATTACATGAATCTTCGAGCAATGATACAATTATTATTAGTTAATAATAATAAAATAATGACGAGTTATTGTTGTTTTCCAATATTCTATACATAATGTGTTGAAATACATCAGGCAATAAAATTAGAATAAATAAAGAAAACGAGATGAATTTCAAAAACGAAACAAAAAGAAAATCATCCCCCAAAAGTTCTATAAAATTTAGAAAAAAACCACAATCTAATTATCAAGAAAACCCCCAAAAATTCTACTTTTGTCGTGTTTTCGAGACTTACGCGATACAGTGTTTAATAACGAAGAACAAATTTCTTTGACCGCCCTTGGTGACCATATAAAATTTGGCGAGACGTCGAGAGAATCCAATTACCCGGGATGAAATTTTCGCCAAAACGGAGGGTTCCGTTTTCGTCGCGTCGTCTGAATTTCTCAGAAGGCAGTTGCAAGTTACAGGTTTGCAAGTAGACACGGCGTAACAGTTTTCGCGGTCCCGTTGTCAGGCTGGAATCCGTCGTGTCTGGAAGCTGGTTCGAAGGCTGCCTGCAAAGTTGGCCGGAATTCGTGACTGGGTGGATACTTGGGTCGACAGCCCTAAGTCGGCAAGTTCCGGAGCTGGCTTATACGAGTTCGAAAACTCGCCGAAAGGGATTAAGCCGGCGACTGCTCTTGCTGGTAATGGAACTTGCTCTCCAGTTTCGAGACACTTCTTGGGAATAGCCATTAGAGCCACTTTAAAGATTGCACTGTGAACGAA